AAAAGAGGAATAGAGGCGAATCCTGACAAAATCGCAGCAATCCATCAAATGGAGCCGCCAAAAAACACAAGAGAAGTGCAGAGGTTGACAGGCCGAATGGCATCTTTGAGTAGATTTCTATCTAAATCAGCAGAAAAGGGATTACCCTTCTTCAAGACTTTGAGGGGAGCAAACACGTTCGAGTGGACCGCTGAATGCCAACAAGCTTTCGATGACTTGAAGAAATACTTGCATGAAATGCCAACATTAGCAAGTCCGCCAAAAGGTCAACCTCTGTTAATGTATGTGGCAGCAACTCCAGCGACAGTTAGCGCAGTTTTGGTACAAGAGGAAGAAAATAGGCAAGTGCCGGTATACTTTGTCTCAGAAGCATTACAAGGACCAAAAACACGATACTCAGAAGTAGAAAAGTTGATTTATGCAATTGTGATGGCTTCAAGAAAGTTGAGACATTATTTTCTGTCGCATGACATAACAATACCATCGGCATACCCGATAGGAGAAGTGTTAACAAACAAGGAAGTCGCGGGGAGAATAGCAAAATGGGCAATGGAACTCTTACCTTTTGACCTGAAATACACATCAAGAACAGCCATAAAGTCACAAGTACTAGCAGATTTTGTGGCAGAATGGACTCCCAATGAGGTAGAACAACAGGAAGAAGTCGAAAAACCATGGATAGTATTCTCCGATGGGGCATGCAATGCCGCCGGAGCAGGAGCCGCTGCAGTTGTGAAAACACCAATGAAGCAAACGTTGAAGTATTCTGTTCAATTAGCTTTTCCTTCAACAAACAACACAGCAGAGTATGAAGGCGTTTTGTTGGCTATGAGAAAGGCAAGAGCGCTAGGGGCTCGGCGGTTAATAGTCAAAACTGACTCAAAGTTGGTAGCAGGTCACTTTTCCAAATCCTTTGAAGCAAAGGAGAAAACTATGGCTAAATATCTAGAAGAAGCAAGGCTGAATGAGAAACATTTCTTGGGAATAACGGTAAAAGCCATAACAAGGGAAGAAAATGGAGAAGCTGATGAGCTAGCTAAAGCAGCCGCAACAGGTCAACCATTGGAAAATTCATTTTTCGATATAATCACCCAGCCAAGTTACGAAAAGAAAGAAGTAGCATGCATACAGAGAGAAGGAGATTGGAGAGAACCGATCTTGAAATACCTTGTCAGTGCACAACTTCCAGAAAAGGAAGAAGAAGCAAAGAGAATACAACTAACGTCCAAGAAATACAAAGTGGTAGAGGGACAGTTGTATAAAAGTGGAGTTACTGCTCCCTTGTTAAAGTGTGTAACAAGGGAAGAAGGCATGAAGATGGTGGTAGAAATACATGAAGGCTTGTGTGGAGCTCATCAAGCACCACGGTCAGTGGCTTCAAAAGTCATAAGACAAGGAATCTATTGGCCAACAATTATGAAAGATACAGAGAAATACATCAAGACGTGCAAAGCATGTCAGAAGTTCGGCCCAATGACAAAAGCACCACCCAAAGAACTGCAACCAATTCCGCCAGTCTGGCCTTTTTACAGATGGGGAATAGATATAGTAAGTCCTCTTCCAAGAGCGAAGGGAGATCTGCGCTTTGTCATTGTTGCAATTGAATACTTTTCAAGATGGATTGAGGCAGAAGCAGTGGCAAGAATAACTTCTGCAGCAGTACAAAAGTTTGTTTGGAAGAACATAATATGTCGATTTGGAATCCCAAAGGAAATAGTATGTGACAATGGAAAGCAATTCGAATCTGGAAAATTTCAAGACATGTGTAAAGGCCTTAATTTGCAAATCAACTTTGCCTCTGTAGGCCATCCTCAGACAAATGGAGCTGTGGAAAGGGCAAATGGTAAAATCATGGAAGCTATCAAGAAGAGGTTAGAAGGATCAGCAAAAGGAAAATGGCCAGAGGACTTGCTATCAGTGCTTTGGGCACTAAGAACTACGGTAGTAAGGTCGACTGGCATGACCCCTTTCAGGTTGGTTTATGGCGATGAAGCAATGACTCCAAGCGAAGTAGGGGCACATTCTCCAAGAATGATATTTGACCAAAAAGATGAAGAAGGAAGAGAGATAACTCTTGAAATGCTAGATGAAATAAGGGTTGAAGCTTTGGAGAAGATGGCATCATACACAGAAGGAACAAAGAGCTATTACAACCAAAAAGTAAAGACAAGGCCGATTGAAGAAGGAGATTTGGTCTTGAAGAAAGTGCTCAATGAGGTAGCTGTTGGAAAACTCGAGTCAAAGTGGGAAGGACCATTCATAGTCAAAAAGAAGACAGAAACGGGAGCATTCAAGTTAGCATATCTTGATGGTGAGGAGTTAAAGCATACTTGGAATGCTATTTCTTTAAAGAAATTTTATGCCTGAAAAAAAAAAAGGAGAGAGAAAGAGAAAAAGGAGAACACGGGAGCTCGAGTTTGTAGTATACTCACTCAGATGTAAATACGAATGATATCCAAGTTAATGTATATAAACAGGACGTAGGGTTTTTATCCATAATGGAGGCCCGAACCTGTATAAAAAACATGCCTCTGTGTATGATTGCAATAGAACTCCGCACGCTCGGAGTCAAATACTCTCGACTAGCAAAGTCGACAAAATAGAACTCCGCACGCTCGGAGTCAAATACATTCGACTAACAAAGTCGACAAAATAGAACTCCGCACGCTCGGAGTCAAATACTCTCGACTAAACAGAGTCGACAAAATAGAACTCCGCACGCTCGGAGTCAAATACATTCGACTAACAAAGTCAACGAAATAGAACTCCGCACGCTCGGAGTTAAATACTCTCGACTAGCAAAGTCGACAAAATAGAACTCCGCACGCTCGGAGTCAAATACATTCGACTAACAAAGTCGACAAAATAGAACTCCGCACGCTCGGAGTCAAATACTCTCGACTAAACAAAGTCGACAAAATAGAACTCCGCACGCTCGGAGTCAAATACATTCGACTAACAAAGTCGACAAAATAGAACTCCGCACGCTCGGAGTCAAATACATTCGACTAACAAAGTCGACAAAATAGAACTCCGCACGCTCGGAGTCAAATACTCTCGACTAGCAAAGTTCGACAAAATAGAACTCCGCACGCTCGGAGTTAAATACTCTCGACTAGCAAAGTCGACAAAATAGAACTCCGCACGCTCGGAGTCAAATACATTCGACTGACAAAGTCGACAAAATAGAACTCCGCACGCTCGGAGTCAAATACATTCGACTAGCAAAGTCGACAAAATATAACTCCTCACGCTAGGAGTCAGATACTTTCGACTAGCAAATTTCGACCTCGTCACTTCTTCGAAAGGTGAGGAGGACGGCGGTTTTCGAACTACTTTGCCTTAGCCCTAAAACGAGCTCAGGAATGCTCGAACTCTATTCTTGTTCGAGCTCAAAAAGCGGAGAATCCGCGTGACGAGGTAAAATACGTTTCGACCTCGTCACTCCTTCGAAAGGTGAGGAGGACGGCGGTTTTCGAACTATTTTGCCTTAGTCCAAAAAACCAACTAAAGAATGCTCGAACTCTATTCTCGTTCGAGCTCAAAAAGCGGAGAATCCGCGTGACGAGGTAAAATACGTTTCGACCTCGTCACTCCTTCGAAAGGTGAGGAGGACGGCGGTTTTTGAACTATTTTGCCTTAGTCCAAAAAACCAACTAAAGAATGCTCGAACTCTATTCTCGTTCGAGCTCAAAAAGCGGAGAATCCGCGTGACGAGGTAAAATACGTTTCGACCTCGTCACTCCTTCGAAAGGTGAGGAGGACGGCGGTTTTCGAACTATTTTGCCTTAGTCCAAAAAACCAACTAAAGAATGCTCGAACTCTATTCTCGTTCGAGCTCAAAAAGCGGAGAATCCGCGTGACGAGGTAAAATACGTTTCGACCTCGTCACTCCTTCGAAAGGTGAGGAGGACGGTGGTTTTCGAACTATTTTGCCTTAGTCCAAAAAAACCAACTAAAGAATGCTCGAACTCTATTTTCCCTTCGCTCGAGCTCAAAAGGCGGAAAATGCACGTGACGAGATAAAGTACGTTTCGATTTCGTAACTTCTTCCAAAGATAAGGAGGACGTAGTTTACCTAAGGGTGCTTGAACAATTGAAATAAAGAGCGTTTATAAAGAAAAGAAGAAAGGAAGGGTTTATTTGATGTTAAGAAGGTATAACAAGTTACACACAAACTCTACAAAGAAGAAAGAAAAGAGTTGGGATAAACAATGTTGAGAGGAGAAGGCATTACTGTATATGGAACTATTGAATAACGCCTTTTCCATATTCTACGTTGGCGTTCGGACGGTTGGAAGTTTCGCCAAAAGGCTTTACTAGCAAGAGTATTGTTCGAACGCCGTTCCCTAAACTCAAGTACAAAGTCACGTAAACTGTCATGTCGATGGCTTCGTTGCCATCGGAAAAACCTAAAAGCAAATATACAAGTATTATCATAACAGGCTTCGAGTTCGTCATCGGAGATGGCGGTCCTGGTAGAAGAAAGCTTTGCAGGGTCTCGAAATGCTAAGTGCTTCACATTTCGAGTGGGCAAAGTGTTGTTGCGTCGAATCACAAGTTTTCGATTCGAGTTAACCTGCAGCCCCCCCAAAGAAAGGGAATTTCCGTGAAAAGCATGCAATAAGAGAAAAGCATTATAGTCAGCTACACTATGAATGCCCCCACAGACGCTGATGTGGCAGGGGCATTAGAGTAAACTTACAAAGACCCACAGGGGTAAAAATGTAATCTCACGTGTACGACCACTGGTTATAAAAGCCAGTCAAAAACCTGTAGCAAGAACAAGACATCTTGAATACAAAAGTAATCCTCAAAAGTTGTGTTCACTGTTCGAGCTCGTTTCTAAGGATAGGCGGGAAAACACTTCTTTCCGGCCTATCCCTGATCTTGTTCGTGACCTAAGGTCACAACACTATGTGTAATTCAATTTGGGACATACGAATAGCGACGATAAGATTTTCTGTCAAACTCAACTAGAATACAGGAGTAAGAATCACCTTATGCTTGAGTGCAAATTCTTCGAGTTGTGTCCGAAATGTGGCAAGCTGCTCCTTCATTACATCGGTCCTGACCTTGGCCACATTTTCCCCAACCAGCCGGAATTGGTCCTTAAATTTTCCAAGAGCACACTCATCTCAGGATCCACAGGAAAAGAAAAAACATTATAAGCTATCCAAGCAAGATGATGTCCACATACGCGAGTAGCCGCCGCGTTCTGTAAACCCGCGATTCCCGGTCGCCTCCTCATGCTTCCTAGTCTAAATTGGCTGCAGTCCCATAAAAATCCGATGGAATTAATTAGCACATCTCGTGAACAGCGATCGATTCGATGTGGCCTGAGTTCTGCGTGTGTTCTAAACTTCTAATCGATCGAACATAGCGCAAGCAGCAGAGGTTAGGGCGGGGATGTTACCTGGGTTCGTGACAGCCTCCGGCGAGAAGCGGAGCGGACCGTCTCCAGATCGGTCGCCTGCGGGCTCAATCGGAGCACCGGAGCCGAGTCAATCCCCCTCGCCTCCACCTCCACCAGGCAGCTAGGTCGACTGCGACGGGTGGGATGCGTACTGGGCGACCGGGGCTTGTGGAGAGGAAGAAGGCGGTGGAGGCAGAGCAGCGGTGACGCTGGTAAGAGGCGGTGGCGCCGGTGAGAGGCGGCGGAGGCGGTGGCCGGTGGGATGGCGAGTGGACGACGGCCTTGGATCAGCGACTAGTTCAGCCGCAGAGGAAAAGACGAGACGACGGCAAGAGGCGATGATGTTTGGGCCCCAGTCAATCCACTGCGGGGCCCATCATTTGCTGGGCTGGAATCCGAATAAGGCCCACCAAATGTCTGATCCACAACGAAATTTAAATGGAATAAGTTCACATTAGTGTGGTGGACAGTGTCAGGCAGTGACGTGGCGTTGTTTGCCACGGGGCTTATTGGGCCTCGCCCGCTGACGCTGGTGTGACTCTGGCCCGTCTACTTTGTAAGGCCCAGAAAGTGTATACAACTTTTTAAATTGGAACAAGTTCAGTTTAGATCATCGCCGAGTTCGAATCTCATCCTCGAACTGCAATACCAAATATGATGAGTCCCTCAACTTGCAAAACGGTGTACCTGAGATTCTAATAAGAGTATAATGTCTGGGTTTGGTATTTATTCTTCCTCCAATCCCCTCTCTTTCCCTTGGCAAAAATCTCTTCTCCTTGCGGTAGATTGGTTTTTCTCCTTCGTAATTTTCCCTTTTTCTTCTTTCTATTGTAGCATCTTTCTCATCAGATAGCAATCCCAAGTCTAGCTCATCCAAATCAGTATTTCTTGGTCCAATCGGCAATTCGGATCCCACTGAGTTTATTAATGCCGAAACCAACAGGGTTCCCTTCAGATTAGCCAACCCTAGCTTAAACCATTGGACAAACACCTTCGAATCTTGGCCAACGACCAACAAAAACTGGCCAGAGTGGTACAATAGGGTATCGGCTAGTAAGCAAACACACTGGGAAGAACTTGGGATAGCCAAGAGCTTAGCCTTGACTGTAGCCGATATGGCTAAGGACGAGCCCATGATGTCGGCAGCCTCCTACTTTTGGTCCAACACCTTGAATGCCTTTCTGTTTAACCAAGGACCAATGACACCAACCCTTCTGGATGTAACCATGCTAACTGGTTTAGATATCACCTCATCGGCTAATCCAGTTAACATGAATGTCAAGAACAAGTTCTCCTTCAAGACTAGAAGTATTGGTGGCTGGATATGTTTTATCTCCATGAATATGGGTATAGGTCCTGTAACTTCTAGGGAGCACACAGCCTTCTTGCTAATGTGGTCAGAAAAATTTCTGTTTTGTGGCCCAAGCTATGGTCCCACCACAAACTGGCAACATGTAGTCGAAGCCCTTGAAGAGAAGAAACAATTTCCTTTGGGTAAATTCTTGCTAGGATATCTGTACCAGACCCTAAATTTGGCATCAGCAAGAATTGCTTCAGGCTCTGCTATCAATACTGGTGGCCCATGGTGGTTGTTACAGACTTGGTTGAATTTGCATACCACGAGGGTGGTTGATAGACCAGCACTGACTAAGGCTGAATTCCCAAGATCCCAGCCGATCATAGATGAGGATGGCCAAGAGATCACAACTCGCCGATGTATGTCTTTTGGAGAGGCAGCATCTACATACGCCGGATCCAAGTTATTGGCTGAACTCTTTAAGGATTGGTTCGGCAACTTCTATGATGGATTTCCAAAGGACTCTAGAATATGGTTTGCTTATGAAAATTTTGCAAATTTTGAGCTCCCAGCCGATTTTCGGTTTGATGAAATCAATTCTGACAAATTTGAGAAATCCAGAGAAGTCTTCTCAACAGCAATCTCTCCCTGCATACTTCCTGTCGGCATCCATCAGGGTAGAAATATTCAAATATCATATGAGTGATAGACGGTTGAGCAATTTCCAGAGGCCAGAGCCCTATGCAGATGGGCTTTTTCATCCCTGAATAAGAGAGGGGAAATTAATTAGTTGTTGCACAATGCATTCATGGGCCATGAGTTCTTTCTTTCATTTTTTTCTTGCAAAACTTTACATGTGATTCCAATGTTGTCTTCAAGCATATGTATCTTATATCTCGTCCCTGGAGCACCTAATGGTCAATTTGTGCATCAAAAGCGCACGTTGACAACTGCCTAAACGGCTTAACACATGAGCATCAGAGTTAAACATCAAGCTTAACAGTAGCTACATATGTCTGTCATCTCTGGGATTAACGGTACACACATTGACACATGACAGTAGACAACTGTTTTAACAGCCTAAACAACCATGCATCCAAGTCCGTTCCCAACCAGTAGATAAGTAGGTCTGCAAAGAAATAGAGCGTCCTAATTAACAAACAGAAAGAGAGCAAATGCCATTCAGTATGTTCATGTGCAATCCAAGCATAACTTGGACAGAAACAGTGCTTGTACCTTTCTGTCTTTCGGTGTCTTGATGCTAGGAAGCATAGTAACAACTTCAGACATGGTAGGCCGATGTTCAGCGCGATCCCGAACGCACAACATCGCCACCCTAAGACATTGCATAATCTGAGCTCGCTCATGTTTCTTAGCACCTAATGATGGATCAATAAGCTTGTGCAACTTTTTTCTGTTCTTCAGTGCCTGAAAAGATTATCAGAATATTAAAGAGCAACATATGAAAATTTAAAATATCTTAATCTTACAGAAACATAAAAAAAGGGCAGTTCAGGCAGGAACTGAGGAAAGTTTGCATGAACAGGTTGGAATTTTTTTTTTTGACTAACTCACCGGGGGGGAGAGGTTCCCCACCTGAATTGTCATTGCATTAATTGAGGAAGAAATGTCTTATTACATCGGATGAAGAGTCTGTAGACTAGAAGAGAAAACACCTTTCCAAACATCTATTACAAATCTATCATCAGGTGTAAAAGTTTCAGCCCATAGGGAGGATTCCGAAATTCCGCGTTGCAAGCATGAAGCAATTGAAGGTGGTCTTCCTCGGAATACAACATCATGCCTGTGGTTCCACAGGACCCAAAAGCAGAGCATGAAGAAACTCTGAAAATGTCTTGTTGGGATAGTTGCTGGTGCCTTTAGTTGGGACAGGTACTTAGTCTCATTGATGATCGGTTGGATATGAAGTGCTTGCCAGAAACTGATAGCAAAAGGGCAGTTGAAGCTGAGGTGATCTGCTGTTTCATCAGTGGTGCTGCATATGTCACAGGTTGCTGTCTGTACTATTTTCTTTTTCAAGAGATTCAATTTTGTGGACAGTCGATCTCTGACTAGAAGCCAAGCAAAGAGCTTGATCTTTAATGGCATTCTGCAGTCCCAAATGAATTTCCAATTTGGTGAAGGAAAGCCAGGCGGAGACCTTAAATCATAGATTGTCTTGGTTGTTAAATTGCCAAGGCGATTGTTGAGCCGAGTATCCGATTCATTTGTCAAGGAAAAATTCTGAAGAATGGTTTGCAGTTCTTGTAGGTCGTTTTGCGCTGCAGATGAAAGCCTAGGGGTGAGAATATCGTAAATTCCGAAGGATAAAATTTGCTCAACAGTGGCTAAGTCGTCAGTTGAATGCGAGAAGAGAGATTCAAACTGTGCTGCAAGAGTCATATTGCCAGTCCAGCGATCATGCCAAAAGGATGTTCTCGAGCCGTCCCCAATGTGCACCGTAGTTATCTTGAAAAGCTCTGGCAGCAGTTTCTGAAAGACACTCCAGTGTTGACCTAACGGTAGAGATTTTAATAGTGATCTTCCATCAAATTCTTTCCAAATCCAATTAGTCCAGGAGGAATTATCTGAGAAAAGGTTGAAAAGTCTTTTGAGAAGAAGAGCTTCATTTTGAGTCTTTAAACTTTTGATTCCTAGTCCTCCCTTTTCTTTTGCGGTACAAACCTCATCCCAGGCCACTAAACACTTTGCTCCGGAGCAGGTGTCATCACCGGTCCAAAAAAAGGCTCGTCGCCGTTTATCAATTGCTTCTATTACCTTTGGTGGGAGTTTGAACGCGGACATTGCATAAACTGGAACACTGCTTAGCACTGCATTAACTAGGATTAGGCGTTCGGCCTGTGAAAGTAGAGATGCCTCCCAGCCTGTAAGAAAACTATCCACTTTGACCACAATTGGTTGTAGATCATTGTTGGTGAGTTTATGCAAGGATAGAGGTAGGCCCAAGTAAGACATTGGAAGCGATTCCAGCTTGCACTGTAGCAATTCCGACAATGACGATTCCTTTGAACGGTCGATATGAAGGGAGATCATTGTACTTTTGGCAAAGTTGATTTGTAATCCTGTGGCTTTGGAGAATTGCAGCAAGGTCGATCTAAGAGCAAGAACATCATCCTCCTCTGCTCGGCATATCACCAGCGTGTCATCGGCGTACTGAATGGTCGCACATGGTCTGTCCTGATAGATAGGGTGCCGAATCTGAAAGTTTTTCTCCAGCAGTCGTTGCAGCACATCTGCCACTAGAATAAATAAATAAGGAGATAAGGGGTCTCCCTGGCGAAGCCCTTTTTTGCAGTTAATCCATTTTCCTGGAATTCCATTAAGAAGCACTGCCGACTTTGATGTTTGAAGTAGGCTTTTGATCCAAGAAATCCAATTGTTTGGAAACCCCCGGACAGCCAAGATTTGGAACAGGCTCGTCCAGAGAACTGAATCGAAAGCTTTAGCAAAATCTAACTTGATAATGAGGGTCTTGCATTTCCTTGCATGGCACGCTTGTATCAGTTCAGTGGCATAAATTAAATTTTCAGAGATGCATCTACCTTTAAGGAAGCCTGTCTGGTCCAGATGAATCATTCTTGTCAGAACTTTTTGAAGCCTATTTGCCAAAACCTTTGAAAGAATTTTTACTGAGCAGTTTTGGAGGGAGATTGGTCGATAGCCATCTACTGTATTCTCCTTGCCAGGTTTTGGAATTAGAACAATGTGAGCTCTGTTAATTCTTTCCAGTTGGACTGAATTTGAGCAGAAACTCGCAGCCAGCTTGATAATATCCTCCTTTATAGAATTCCAAGCTGAATTGTAGAAGCTTGGTCCGAAACCATCCGGTCCCGGTGCACTGTTGGAGTTCATGCCTTTAATTGATGTTATTATCTCTTCCGTAGAAAATTGCAATCCTTGCGAAGCCAAAAGATTATAGTCTCGTTCATCTTCTGAGTATAGTGTTGACAGATCGAAGTCCCACAACGGCTGACAGTCGGACCCTAGAAAATGTTGGAAGAAGGAGTGCAGAAGCAGAGCTTTTCCATTGTGATCTGCAATTTCTGCCCCATTGTGCTTGATTGATCTGATCCTTGAATTCCTGTAATTTTTTGATGCATGAGCCTTGAAGAATGCCGAATTGTCAATTCCAATCTTTAGCCGCTTGACCTTTCCCCTTTGTTTCCAGTATGCAACCTTGCTTTGGATGGCCTGAAACAATTTCTCCTGTACAAGATTTCTTAGGCAGCGTTCCCCATCATTCAAAGGTCTGAGTTCTTCAATATAGTCGAGGAGATCAATTGTGAACTTACAGTCTTCATTGAGAGAACTACGTTTCCTGTGTTCTTTCATCCAAACTTTGATGATAGATCTTGTCTGTTTTAGCTTGGCAGCAAGGCAAGCAGCCGGATCATTCATATTGAGCTGTTGTGGCCACCTGTGCATGACTGAAGGAAGAAAATCTCGGTCCAGCAAAAGATGATTCTCAAAGCGGAAAGTTTTCGATTTTGGAATGGAAGTAGAAGCAGTGAGAAGAAGTGGAACATGGTCAGAGGTGGTTCTAGTGCAAGAAGAGAGGGAGGTGTTTGGGAGGGTGTTGTTCCAAGCATTGTTGAAGAAAGCTCGGTCTAGCCTTGCCAGGACTGGAACTTCTCTTTTGTTCGACCAGGTGTATAGTCTGTCTGGAAGTGGTAATTCAAACAGGCTTAGGGAGTTTATTGTTTGGTTGAAAGCAGCTGCAAGACCAGTTGAAAAGTTTTGGGAGTTCTTGTCGGAAGGGGATCTAGTAAGGTTGAAGTCTCCTATGAGAAGTCTAGGGCCCTGGATTAGGGGATCTATTTCTAAAAGCTCATGAAGGAAGTCTTGTTTTTGATCAAGCTCGGCTGGCCCATAGATGTTGGTTAAAGAAAAGGACAGGTCTGTGAAGGTTGAGGTGAAGGAGATTGTCAGCGAGAAGTGTCTGGAGATGAAAGAAGTTTTTGTAAAGTCAGCATTCCAGGCAGTAAGCATGCCCCCTCTAGAGCCATAAGAACCCACAAAATCATAATTAGCGAGGTTAGGAGGTAGAATAGTTTTTGCTTTTTCAGGTGGGATGTTTTGAAGTTTAGTTTCCTGAAGGAGAACAAAAGACGGGTTGCAATCTGAAATCGAATTTTTCACAATGTCACACTTGTTTTTGTCGCCCAAACCACGAACATTCCAGCAAAGAACAGAGAAAGAACGATTCATGAAATAATAATAGGTTCACCGAAATAGCACATGGCAGACCCAAGAGCAAAAGGCCACAGCATCACATAATCCAGCTTACATGGAGTAAATAGACTGAAAGAGAACATAACGAAGGGAGAGAAGACACTAGAGAACTGAAGAAGAGCTGAAAGAACATAACAAAGGGAGAGAAGCAGACGCATGCTGGGCTTGTCCATCCCATTGAGGGTATTGATCACCATCAGTCCACTGACGAGAACACCTTTCGAAGCTGGGCAATATCGTGATCATTCAAACTGCAAGCAATAGCCAGATCTTCCAACGCTTTCGGAGTAGTCTTGAAGTTAAGGTCGAGCAGATTGTGCTTGTGTACCGCGTCATTGAGTTTGGATGAGCATTTGGCAAGTTGTTCCTTTAGTTTTTTCGCTCTGGCTGCTTTGGATTCCATCGAAATGTACAAATGTCCTTCTTTGGCCGCCAGTCTTTCGCTATATCGCCTCTTGACATCTGAATCAATTGTCCGTTTCTTCTGCCTTCTGCGTTTCCGGGCTGAAAGCTCATGTTCATTTTCAGTATCTGAGGGCACGAGGTCCTGGAGGCAGTCATGGATACTGGAGGGAGCAGAATGGATTGACGGAGGGACAAAAATTTCAGGTGTATCAGAGATTTCCTCAATGAAGACAGTGCTAGCTGCAGGCAGAATCGCAAGCAATCTTCCCCTGTTCTGAAGTCCTTGGTTGTTAGAGATTTGATTTGAAGGAGCCTGATTCAAGTTGTCCAACTCTGCCTCTGGTCCAACAGTTGGTCCTGAACGGGGAGGATCCAACTGATGAGGGAATAGAAACTGTTCATAATGCTTAATGTAATTTCCATCTTCATCCACGTTCATGGCCAGCTCCCATGTTCTTAGAACCCTGACATAGACAGTGCAGACAATCCCCAAATTGTAGCGCAGCCGAAATCTAGGGCTCATCCTCTTGCCAGGATAGTGCAGAACAACAAGACGCAGAGAGGATTGTTCGTCCCCATAGAGGCATTGATCATCTACTTCCATCAGCTCGCCGTAATTTTCAAAAGCATTTCTTATCTTGTTAGGGAACAACATCTCTGGCGGGAAGTCAATACAGTCTAGTTCGGACAGCATAGTGTTGTGTTGAATGAAGCGAGCCGCACTGTCCTCAGGCCGTTCAAGCCTAACCAAGTGGCCTTCAGCTGTAAGATTCTCCTGGTGATCAACTGCAAAGTCTCTGTCCTGACTGTGAATAAATCTTAGAGTCATTGCACCTCTACAAGCTGAGATGAGAGTGAACTGAAAACGAGGGTGAGCATCCTGCATTGCTTTTCGAATTACTCTGCCAGGGCATTCACATGGAGGGGTAACATAAGCAGTGGCGTAATGAGCAGTTACTCTCATGTCAACAAAGGGGATAAAGATATCAAGAATATCATCGTCACTGTCTCCTGATATGTTAACTGGATCTGGTTCCCCAAAAGCAAAGTCCTGCGCAGCAGTAGTGTCATTGGAAGTAATGACTGGCACCCGACCTGGAGAGAGTGAAGCAGAGTGAATAGATCCTTCTGGACTTAGACCTGCTAGAGCTCTTCTGATTTGCTCAGCAGCTGAGGGGCCACTCAATGTCGGAGGTGGCGATCTCGTGCTATCAGGATCCTGAGGTGGAGACAGAATTGGGTTGGCAGACAACTGTTCCGAACAGACGAAGATATCCCTAGGTTCCTGTGGGGGGACCGAGCTTGGCTGCCTCGAAGATGGACAGGCGCCGTACCAAGCGAGGAAACCTTTATTCTTGCATCTGAGACGAGGTGGCATACTGCTAAGGTTGACCGCTGGCGAGAGATCTTCGCTGACAGAGGACGGAACAACAACGGACTCAACAGTAGCATGAGCAACTTCAGCAACCGCAGCAGCTCTTGTAGGCATAACAGACACCAAGGAAACAGTCGCAGGTACCACTTCAGTTGAGACAGTCTCTAGATCATTAACAGCACATGCAAGAACTGGAACTAAGGCAGCCACTGAGATTGAACTATCTTGCACACAGACTAGGGCATTTCTTACGTCCGGTAAAGGAGAAGCAACAGAAGAAGTGACCGCATTCTCACTAACCTCCATGGGGACCAGAGGTCCAGCAGTAACAGATCTGACCGGAGAGGAACAAAGACTGCTCTCCAACATGGCAATCACATCTTCCAGCTGCGCATCCACATGAGTCAGAGGAGGAACATAAGGAACAATGGCTAGGTTATCTGGAGGGGGGGAGCTGTGGTTGGATCGAGGGTATGGGGCAGTAGGTAAGCGAGGCGGAGGTGGGGCTGGAGTGTTTAGAGCACGCCTGACCCAGCGGGTAGTGAAGCGGGAGGTGGAGTTTGCTGTGGATGGGTGGAAGGAGGAAGATGAGCGGCGAGGGGAGATGTTGGAAGCCATAGATGACCGGCAAGAATCTTGCCTGTGACCTGCTCGACGGCAGGATGCGCAAATCAAGGGATCCCGGCAATCTTTGACCTGATGATCAGAACCAAGGCAGCGAAAGCATCGGTTGAGCATGGTGAGGTTTTTTCTGCCCCTGCTAGGAAGGCGAGAAGTGGCTGAGCGAGCGGGGGGTTTAGGTTTTGGCTGTGAGAGGAGAGCGTCTCTGAAGGAGTTTGTTACAGGGCAGTAAACAGACTTCAATGCAGGGCCTGTCGGCACAGAGGGGGTAGAGGTCTTGCTGGATTGTTGGGAGCATCCAATATGACGTGACGTTGCAGTAAAGGCTGGCTTAACTGTTTGAAGCGCGGGAACAACTTTTTCACCCACCAGAGAGGGAACGGACGAACTGCCTTCAAACTGAACCAAGAACCGGGTAACATTTTCTTGAATATCCTTTGCAGCTGAATCTTTGGTCAAATGGATGGACAAACCAGCAGACTTAAGAACAGACGAACCCGCAAGAAACAACGAGGTAGCCACATCTTTGTTCGCAACATGAGAAAGAAACAAACCAAAACCCAAAGAAGAAACAGAGAAAGACGAAAACGAAGAACTGAACCAGAAATTAAGAGCATTTTTGACATAGAGCGAGTTGAGCGGCTTAGAGGGAGCAGCGCAAAGCCAAATAGGAGTTGGGATGATTTTTGACGGGCCAAGGGTAGTGGCGATAGGGGTAACAGGGCAGTGGAAGAGATGAAGGATGAGGTTTTGGAAAGCTTCACCTGGTCGAACTTGAGAGAGGTTAAGAGCCCGGGCTGGAGAAGGGAGGCGCAGCTTGGAGATACCTGCCGGAGAAGGGAGGAGAGGCGGCAAGTCAATGGTGAGGGCACTGGAGCGGCCGCCGGAGGTGACAGCCGCGGTGGTCGGCCCGTCGCCAGCCAGGTCGCCCCTCTCGCCTCGCCCTCTCATCCCACCGCGCCACGTTTCCCTATTCACAGTTGGCGCTCTCAGGTTGGAATTTATCAACCACACTACCAGAGAGTAGTACCATTTTCACATTTTCTAATAAGAAGATACCACCATTCACCCTTAGAACATTGATAAAAATAGAGGTGCAGTTATGGAATACTTACAAATTCAGGAAATATTGTTCGTCGAGATCTGCTCTTCACATTATATCCAGATACACACAACTTTCCACTTATTATCTCAAGCAGTACAATGCCAAAGCTATAAACGTCGGTTTTCTCCGAGATTACTCCAGTAGCAACATATTCAGGATCGGCATAACCCCTGAAAGATGACAGTAGATCGTCACAGCAGTGCACCTGTAGCTACACTTATCAAGGGAAAGATGAGAGTTGCATCTCTAACTAGTTTACAGTATAGGGAGACTGGGAGAGTATCTACCATGTGCCACGAACAAGCACCTCTGTAGTTGCTTTCGGAGCTAATTTTATGGCCAGACCAAAATCAGAAATCTTAGCATTCATTTCATAATCTAAGAGGATATTACTTGCTTTTATGTCCCTATGGACAATGCACTTGGGAGAATGGTTGTGTAGGTAAAGAAGACCATCTGAGATTCCTTCAATTATTTTAAGGCGCTTAGACCAATTTAGCAATATCCTTTTTGTTTCATCTACAAAAATACCAGATATCATTTAGAGAAAAAAAAATGGAGGCATTGGTCTTAGTCAAAATAGAAAACTTGCCGCTAATGGTAGAAGCCAAACTTCCATTTGGAATGTATTCATAGACAAGAATACATTCTTTGCCTTGAACACAAAACCCAATCAGCTCAATTATATTTTTTCGTCGAAGTTTTGGTATGACGTCAATCTCAGCCATGAACTCTTCTTCACCTTGATGTGAAGAAGTATCATGCCTTTTGACAGCAATCTCAAGTCCATTGGGAAGTTTTCCCTGAGAAAGTTTAAATTCAGATTAATAAAGCACATCTAAGCATTGTAAATCAAAATATTCAGATATGCGCATATTCAAAGCATTCATAGATTTTCTAGATAATGCCATAAAAAGCATTCCTGGATGTTATACATGTTACAAGAAGCTGACATGACAACATGTTCTAAAGCAAGATCATGGGAGGAGCTGAAATTTTTCAAAATATCCTATCCGCATTATTTATGTACTGCTGTTATGGAAAAAAATATTATAGAAAGATTAGTTATGTGGGTGAGATTAAAATTATTGGCTGAAAAATTTTTCATTTGATCCAGCGAGTGTAAGAACTGCAAATTTAGAATTCTAATATTACTATTTCTTCAAAAGTTCAGGATTTTCTTCATCCTAACTCCTAAGGTTTACTTTTGAAGAGAACTACGGAGTACCTTGTAAACAGGCCCAAATCCACCTTGTCCAATTAAGGATCTCCCTGAAAAATTGTTTGTAGCAGCCAATATCTGTGAAAAAGTCAACACTGCTCCTTTTCCAATATCATTAACAACTAGTTGATCCAGGTTCAGGCTTCTGACTGATTGATTAAAAAACTATATCTTGTCAATACTAATAGACAAAAATAAAACAAAATTGTTTTGCGAATTGACATACTTGATGCTTGTTCACTTCGTTTTTCCTCAAAAACTTCTGGACATTGAGTTACACTCTGAT